CATATACACGAGAGATGAGCTAGCATAGAAGCGAGTGCAGGAGACCTTAAGATGTTAGGCTTGATCCAAAAGAATCTTTTTTAGTTTTAATAAGTGTTTAACGGCACTTGCAACATAACAAGGTCATATTAAGTGCCGAAGATACCAGGAGTTAAAAGAGAGTAACAAACAAACAAAAAACGGAGTGGAGATAAAGACGATACATGTTTGACAGGAAAGAAGAAGTAAATCACAGCAGAGCACCCGCCAACCACCCATTAACTCATTTTATGTTGATTCCGTGTGAATGGGTTCCAAACCCACAGGACGAGTAGCGACGGGGAGGTCGAAGGAAAAATAAATAAATCAAACAACAACAACAAAAAACACAAAAACCAACAACCAAACATACCAATACAAGGCAGAAAAATCTTATTATGTGTACATCCGAGTATCACATCTTGTTAGTATTCAAACAGGTACGAGTGTGTGTGTGTGTGTGTGTGTGTGTGTGTGTGTGTGTGTGTGTGTGTGTGCACGCGCGGGCGCGTGTGTGTGTGCATGTGTGCTGTGTGTGCGTGAGTATGTGTATGCATGTGTGTGTGTGTATGTGTGCGTGTGGGGAGGGGGAGGTGTATGTGTCTATGCGTGCGTATGTGTGTGTGTGCGCGCGCGCGCGCGTGCGTGTTTTGAGGCCTTGTTCTTACAATATATACCAGGAAAGTAGTTGAGCCGAATGACCTTATACAGTAACCTTACCTAACACACAAAGAAATAGCTGTCGTATTGCACCAACACACGCAAGCAAAACTTCTGAATGCCTCTACGGGCCCTAGGCCTACATCGTTAACGGATTTGTTGTTTTAATGAACTACTGTTTGTTCGATTTTTTATTTTTTTTGTTCCTTTTGTTCTTGGGGGGTTAGGGGTTAGTGGGGAACTGACCCCTGACTCCTCATTACGTAAGATGTCAGTTTCGGCTGGGGGGGGGTGCGGGGGCGTAACTGTTGAGTTCACTTGTCCAACAACTCCATGTGGACTAGATTTCTATACTTACTTTCCCAGTCCCAGAAAATGAACGACACGCAGCACTTTTCTTGCTGCGACCAGAACCTATCTAATCTTTCAATGTTGTCTCAGTCAGCTCGTCTCCTTTCAAAGATATTGCCCATCGCCCAATAGTGCTAATATCAACACAGTCCTCACCATAAATAGATTCATACTTTCATGAACAGTCTGTAATATCCTGTAAGAGCACCGAACTTTCCTTTGAGGTGAAGTGTTGTTTGTTTGTTTTTTAGAGTCGCCATTTTAACTCTAACTGGGGTACACAGACCCGTGTTGTGACACAATAATATAATTTTGAGTGTGAATGACGTCATCAATAATTAAGGGTAGCTGTAGTCAAATGGTGGGAAAATATTTGCAGTAATGTTCATTATTCTATAATATTATAACGAATAAAATAAGCAAAAAGTTACCGTACAACTGACATTAGTTTCCAGCCCACACTCGTATGTATATATATATA